TTTTACTGGTCAAGGGAGCCGGCATACAGTTTCCGGGTCATGTGGCCAGGATGACTAAGCCTCTTCTGGTGAACCAGAGCAGTGTACGGAAACACCGTGAGTGGTACCTATTTATCTACTTGCACTTTGATGTGCTTTCGAACTGCTAGGTGGGCAGGTGCTGGGACCGAACAATGGGAGCTCACCCTTTCGTGGGGATTCGAACTACCGACCTTCCGAATGGCAAGCCCTAGGCTCTATGGTTCAGACCACAGCACCACCCGCGTCCCTCCCAAAGTGGTTTACATACAATCAAATAGGATAAGACAGGTCCCTGCCCACAGCCTTACAATTTAAAAATCCACGGCACACAAGGCAAAGGGACAGGGAGGGAAGGGGGGGGAATGTCACAATTTTCCTTGCCCTGATTTCCTCTTGTTGATCATGGATGTCTGGAGTAGGGAAGCCTATATGTACATGTATGGCCTATGTGATGAATCTGTCAAGGAAGCTAGGGAGAAGGACCATTCAAGAATTATTCAGCCATTTACTGTAAGTTCTAAGCTTGCATTCTGAAGTGGTACCAGCCAAGCACATATAACTTTATGGCCAGGAAATGTAAGAATGGAGGGACACTGTTAGATTGGCATTTTATTGGGCATGAATAGTTCTTATATAAATCAATTCCTCCAAGACACTTTCTGATAATTATACCATGTGTTTTTAATTTGATTCATCCACCCACCAATAAATAACCTTAAATGCATGAAATGCATCAGTATTGTTCATCATTTGTATGTGCAATAAATATCTCTACCTACCTTTGTGCTTTAGCTCAAGATTTAGATGCTCTACCTTTTCCATTTGCAGCGATCAATTTTGTCAAATACCATCAAATCATCACATGCCTGCAAAAAGCATACTTCATGATCTTGCAATTTAAATCTTTGTCCTTGGGCACTGTGATGAAACAAAATAGATGAGAAGAAGGTTGCTTCTTGTTCAAAAGGATTTTCTTCCATATTCCCGCAGATAGATTTTCTGTCATTCTTGGTTATGAAAAGAAAGGTATTGGAAAAGAACTTGAATGAATTTTTAAACTACTTGCACATTGCCTGGAGGCCTGTAGATATACCATGTATGCATCTGTGGGCAGTAACACTGTTGTGGATTTGGCTGGCTTCATCATGGTGAATGAGTGGCTAGGGCCTTTGTTTTCTCAGGGTTATGTTTTTAATGACTGTGGATGGTCCCCTGAATGGGCGATTCATTTTACAGGATTAGGGTCTCAGACCAGTGCTTTCCAGAGTTTGTGCATGAGTGAGCTGAGTGTGTCTGGCTGGAGCTAGCTGAAAGTGAGAGAGACCTGCACAAGTTGCTTTCTGATGTTTGCATATAAAAGTATACAATTTGGGATTTGCAACAATATTCCTCTTGCATAAACAAGTGTTCTTGAAACAGAAACTATAGCACTGCAGGGCAGGGAGGAGAAAGATTTTAGGATGGGGGAAATGTACACATTTGTCTCTTCCCACACTTCTGAAATCTTTCCTGTTGTGCTGTGTCAGGGATGAGGATGTTGGATTTCATTGCATCAGCCAACAGACAGTGGCAGAGCTTCATGCTCTGGCACCGGGGGGGGGGAGCAGGTGGGGGCATGGCTGGCGCGCATCCGGGGAGTGTGGTGCGTGTCTTGGGGGTGTGACGTGCCATCTGCAGGGGCGTGGTGCCCAGCATGGGGGGGGGAGGCAGCCGTGATGGCACCCCACTGGGATCGTGCTGCCGGGGGGGCAGTGCGCTCCCTCTGCACTCCTCTTCCTCCGCCAATGCCCATAGATAGCATGACCAATGGTCATGAATGATTGTAGTCCAGTAATATCTGGACTACAGATTTCACATCCTTGTGCTAAATACTGCTAAAGTGCTCAGACTCAACAATAATAATAATAATAAATTTTATTTATATCCCGCCCTCCCCAGCCGAAGCCGGGCTCAGGGCGGCTAACAACACTAGGGGCAGACTCAGGGGCAGAAAACTTAATAGCTATATAAAGAGATAGGAGTTCCCTGAATTTGCAGAAGCCAGTACTTTTTCTGACAGTGGCCCATTTCACAGCCAAAGTGATACGCATACCAACTTTGATATTAGAAGGAATGTGGGGGCACAACACTTGTTTGCATATTCCATGGCTGTATCTCAGATATACATTTGGTGTTCATTTGAAAGTCCCATTCCTCATTTTGAAAGAAGTGGAAAAAGACTTACATGGGTGGTTAAAATTTGATTAAACCACAGAGACCTCAGAAAGAAAAATGATTGCATGAGTGATAATTGGCTTGTAAATCTTACTCCCATTTTGGCTATACATACTAAATAATTTTGCAGACAAGCAACTTTTGTAGGCTGTTTTAATTTAGGGGTGCCAACTTGAATAAAATATTGGGGGAGCAGGTAAGCCCCACCCCACAAGACGCAGCACATACACACCATTTGAATGGCAATGCCCATCAACTTGGGTGGGGCAGCTCCCTCAATATCTTATTGGGGGAAGCTAAAGGAACCTTGGCCTCTAGAAGTTGGCTCCTATGACCTCCTCCCAGTTTTCATTTTTTGCACTTTACATTAAAAGTTAAAATGCACCCATACTGTGAACAGAAATATTTTCAGAAGGAGAGGGGATAGAAAATGGGAAATTTACTCTAAATGTAACAAAAAGCTAGTCTTCTATTATATTGCTTATAATACTAAGAATTAGAAGACAGCAATGACAGATTCTGAAAGGAAAGAGTTCTACTTTGCCATAGCAAAAGTCTTGCCACCTTACAACTTGATGCATTAGACTGCAATCCTAACCCCACTTTCCTGGGAGTATGTCCATTGAATTCAGCAGGGTTCCTTTGAAGTAGACATCTTTAGAACAGAAGCCTGCCTGTGGTATTTATGAAGAACCCATTCCCTGATTCTTCCTAGTATTCCAAAGAAGCCTGAATAATTGCAGTCACACCTATCCCAAACATTGGGATTTGAAAGGAATGGCTGCAAATATTGGACTGTGTGCAGAGGTTATGTTCTGACTGAGGCTATAATCCTATGAACCCTTACCCGGGATTTTGAACACCGTGGGACTTGTGTTGGAGGAAATATGTATAGACATGTACTGCAAATATATCTGGCATATGAGCGCACACAGTTAGCAGATCTACAGCTGGCCCACCACTTACACAAGAGTTTGACTCCAAAGGTCCATGTACAAAGGCAAAATCATTCAAAGTCAGGAACCCCTGGAAGCACTTGCCTCTGAGGTTCAGACCTGCTTACTGGGAAGTTTGTAGGAGGGCCCTGGGACCCTCCGAGAGCATGGCAAGCAAGGGAAACCTGGGTGTGCAGGTGGAAGAAAAACAAGTAAGTGGAGAACAGGGAATGGCAAGTTTCCCCTGCTCTCCATTTATTTATTTATTTTCTCCCTGCACAAGTTTGCATTCGCATATGTAAAGGGAATGCCAGTTGTGGGCCCACTGTAGCATTTTAGTTTAGCCATTTATAAGCAGATGACTTTGCTACATATTTTGTTTGTGTTTTGAAATTGTGTTTGAAGCCTCTAGTGTGGCAGCTTTCAAGGCAAGAAGAAGCAGCCTCTGCATTTGGATATTTATCGTGGTAGAATGTTCCAGGTGACCAACATATTCCAAAAGCAGGAGTGCTTCATCTGATTTAGTGAAAAGAGGCCACCGAGCTGTAAAACTATGCAGCTAGTTGCTACTAATCTGCAGCTGCAATCATTGTTCTCTTCTGTCATTCCTTTATAGGGAGAAAAAAGGATTGAAAGCAGTCCATGAGATATTAGTTTAACATTACTACTGGCTAGGTTTTGGAAAAGGAAATAATAAATTCTTGGCTGGCACGGGGACTGCTAAAGTACTTCTGTTAACTGTATGTTATTTATGACATCCTCCTAAACTTTTATGTCTTCTGTTCCTGTCCATTCACAAGCGTTTGCATGAGTCTTATGTTTCACATTTATTTATATGTGTGCTTTAGTATATTTAAGATAACTTTATGGGTAGTTGCTGCTAACCAAAGAGCATTAGATTTTAAGATGACATGGTTTTAAGAGCTGAAGATGTAATGTGCTAATGAGGATAAGATCAGGGGAGGTGGAAATGTTTATGTTTCTAAATATTTTGGGAGGAAGAATCTCCACCTTTAATGTATTTGGGAAGGTATTTATTTGACCATCCTGACTAGTCTGAGGCATGGTAATGACTCAAGAAGCACCTTTCCAAAGCACCACATGTGCTAGGGATAGTTCACACAATGTCAAGAGCTACAGCACCCTGTCTCTTATCAGTTACGCTTCAAAAAAGAAGATAAAAAGATCAAAGGAACTGGGTGGATGAACATATGGATTTTGCCTGCTAGTGCTCCATCCCATGTTATTTTACATCTGCTGTGAGGTATATGTCCAGAATTGTATATATCATTTTTAAAATAAATAAAATAAAAGCTATATACTAATTATTAGGACTTCACACAACTCTGCCAGTCTACTCTCTGGTTCCAGTCTGCAGACCCCAGTCAAGATGAACTGCCCTGGGCCAACTTGGGACCACCCTCTGCACCTTGGATATAGTCCCAAATTACTTTGTGGGCAGGGACTAATGTTTAATAAGGGGGGGGGAACCTAATTAAACACACAACCATGATGGAGTGGGAAAGGAGTCATCGTTCCTCACCCTTGACTGAGCAGGGGGTTCAATTCTCCAGGATGTTCTTCACAAGTGGCTTATCTGTGGGGAATAAGCTTGCGACTGAGCACCCTTGTTATCACCTTGTTGGTCAAGTCAGCAAGGGAAGTTGGCATCACAAAAAATTCTTAGAAAGTCACCAACCTAACCAGAGATGGAAACAAATTCTTGTTTTGTTTTCAGAGTGGGAAAGAGGTACTGTGGGAAGGCACAGGAAATATTGGCCTAGCTTGAGATATGTCACTAATACTTCTACTTTTCTCTCTCTCCCCCAGAATAATGGTTCCTTAGTCTGGTGCCAGAATCACAAACAGTGTTCAAAGGTATGAAACTTCCTCTCTCTCTCTCAAAGATACAGTACAAAAATGTTATCCTTCATTGTACTTTATTGTTTATGGATTGCTATACATTTCATTTTGTCCTAAGCACTACAATGCATTTATTTCCATATTCTTCGCATACAACAAAACTCTTAAAATCTTGTTAACAATGAATATATGTATGTAATCACTTGCTGTATATTAAAACTTTGTGGTAGCTTCTTCTTCTTCTTCTTCTTCTTCTTCTTCTTCTTCTTCTTCTTCTTCTTCTTCTTCTTCTTCTTCTTCTATCCTGCCCTGTAAAAACTTCCCTGCAGTGGCATAGCAAGCCCAGGTGGTACCTGGTGTGAAATATTTTTTTTGTCACCCCCTCCCCCCCCATTGACGGTAGGCTTGGAAGTCTTGGGTGGGTGCAGAATGTCTGTTCCCTTTCCTACGCCTCTGCGCCCCACCCCCACAACTCTAAAGTAACCTAAGCCATTGGAGGAAGTGGGGACCTATGCCGCTTTGCCGGGGCACTGGCAAAGCTGTGCAGCTTGTCCTCTCGGGAGCCATGACTCCCGTCCGTCCGTCCTCCTCCCTCCCTCCCTGGCTTGCTGTAAAGTGGCAAAGTGGGAGCCACTTACAGCAAGCCAGGGAGGGAGGGAGGCTGGGAGGGGGGCCTATGGCTCGCCGTAAGCAGCTCCCGCTTTGCCGCTCAGCAAGCCCAGAGGGAGGGATGGGGAGCCATGGCTCCCGTCCACCCCTCCCTGGCTCGCTGTAAAGCAGCAAAGCTTACGGCGAGCCAGGGAAGAGGCCTAGGCTATTTCCTCGGCTTGGACAACACACCACACCACACCACACCATGACTTAGCTGCTGCATGGAGCTCAAAAGGCCAGGGAGAAGCAAAGCTCCAGGAGCTATCTTATTTGTGCTGAACGGTAAGACAACATGCAAACCAAGTCATTGAGCATATTCTGAGTATGACTTAGTAGTTGGATACCACCCCGTGGGGTTTTACAGTTGCTTTATTAGAGCTGGATTGTGCCAGTTAATTTTACATGACCTAAAATGTACTTAATATTTATTCTACAAGCAATTCTTGTTCAAGAAAGGAGAAGTGCTTTTCCCTGAGATTATATATTTTATGCTATTCTTTAATTTAATTTCTTTGGTGCTTTCAGCTAGTCTTACTGTTGTCTTTGTGTGTGTGTGTGTTGACTCTTTGACCCTTGAAAGATTAGAGTGCAAGTGAGCTAATAACTATTTGATTCTACTGGAAAAGCATCTTGCTAAGTTGCCTGGAGAGAAGCAACAATTATTATTCAGCTTTAGAGGGTCAGAGTGGAACCACAGGGCTTAGCCACTGACTGCTCTTTTCATTCCCATACAATGCCGAGTGCGTCTATTCCCTGCTTTAGAATTTTACCTTCTAAACTATTAAACCAGTGTTGTAGAAAAATGGTAGGTAAAACAGTATTTAGCCAAAATTTCCATGATTTCATAATGGTACAAGGACATGCACTGCAGTATGCTGAGATCTATATTTAATACGTAGTTGACTTTCTGTAGAATTTATATTAAGTGGGGACCAAAATCTCAGAAGCTCTGAGGTGCTGTAAGGAGTGATATTCAGTGAAGAACTGCCGTGTTTTATGAATTGAGACATTCCATTTGAAACAAAAAGGTACATGGATTTCTCAACAACAATGAATCTCTCACAAGCTGGTGTGTGTGTCTGTGCGTGCAACTGAAATACTTTTTCTGTGATGCTTTCTTTGTGAGTTCCTGACCAGCAGGAAGACTTCAGTTGAGACTTCTATGAGTGCTAACTGGAGGAGAAGTTGGGAGAAGGGCTATTTGTTTTGATTAGAAGAGGAACTGGTTTAACAGAATAGCTACTATACAAGCAAGAATGCAAGTATCGTAATTCTATCTAACCCGCTAAATCATATTATCCTGTAAATACATTTCAGCAGTGGACAGCTGGGTGGCACGACTGTGCTCACCTCTCTCTCTTTGCTGCTGCTTATAGGGAGATAGAGGAGGAGGGGCAAGGTTGGTGCAGTGCAAATGCACTCGTGGGATCAGTGGATTGGCTACACAGTCCATTTCCACTGTGCTGTTCTGTTGCTCCTGCTGTTGCACTTGTATTGCACTGACCTTGTTCTTTCCACCACCTAGTGAGCAGCAGTGACATGACTGACTGGAGGTCAGGTGAACACCACTTCCTCACCAAGCTGTCTGCTACTAGTATTGATTGAATAAATAATATATTTGCTTAACCTTTAAAGTAAGCCTTCTTGTTTATCTGTCTTACGCCTGCTACAGTTTATGTGTCATTTGGGGAATAAGATATTACCAGAAATGGCTGGTAGCAGCAGAAATTAGGGGATTAAGGAAGCAGTTATAGGCCTCATGTAAGATGGATGTTGGTGGGAGTCCTCCACATAAAGGGTCAGTTAGGGAGGTAATCCTCCAAATTTCACAATTACTTAGTTTAGTTTGGGATTAGTTGTCATGTCCTTTATAGAATTTCTGTACAGATACAGGATTTCTTTTAAGAAATAATGTTTAGCCCTGGTGTCTCCTCCATTGATTGAGTGATGCAGTTGTGCTGTGAAATAAGGAACATCCTTCAAGCTATTTCCCATGTGATGTTCACAAGCGACTTTTTAAATTAGGACTACTAAACTTCATAAAAACCAACGAAGGGCAACAAAGCCTGTCACTGTCTCATGATTGCTGCTGGTAATTAATGTTGACATGAATAGGTTGTTATGACCCAAAGTAAGCTACCTGAAAACAAAACCGTAATGAAACAATGAAAACAATTTCATACATTCATCTGTTCTTCAATATTGTTCTGTTCTGAATGTTCTCTCTCACTCCACCCCCTCTATCTTTCTCTCCCTCTCTCTGACACACACACACACACACACACACACACACACACACCTTTCTCTCTTTAGGTTAAATTGCCACAAAATTGGTTCAAATGTGAGGGGCAGACTACATTAAATGTTAAGCATATTCATTGCCCCTGAATTCATTATTTTTCATTCAGAAATAACCAGTACTGAATGCCCAATCAGAATTGGTACTTGTTTGTGTATGGGGTGTGTGTAGGAGAGCTTTAGCCCTTTACCCTCTTCTGTGCTATATATCTATGTATATGGGTTGGTATCTAGTATCTAGTTAGGAAATAACAAGAATGCTGGTGTCTGGCAATTGCTAGCTCTTGTGGCACACATATTCCATGGTTAATCACGGAATAGGACATTTTATCAAGGTGCCTATACACGCCAACTCTGTCCTGGAAAGGAACCATTGCTAGGGGTGGGGTGAACAGTACACCTTAAACAACATAGCCATAGAGCTGTTGCCAAAGGAAGTTGTTATGTGGTGAGTGATTTGTGGCTGAAACAAATAGAACAATGTATGGTGGGGTTGTCCTCCATAATGTTGTGCATCTCGGACCTGGAATGTGTTTCTGGTGCCTAATTTGAGAATCTGAAGATTTGCAGTATCACAGTTCTTAATGCCACAAGTAGGTTCACGTGGTATGGCTGGGTTTGCTTGCCACGGGGAAGTCCAGTTTTAGTATAATTTATTGGCCAAGAAAGGATAAGGATGCAATAGCTGTAGAGAGAGCATGGTAGAAGACACAGAAGAGAGTAGGAAGCAAATGTTCATGGAAATCTATTCATTAAACTCGACTTCAACATGAATTTTGGTTCTAAGATATTTATTTATTCAGATTCTGCATTGGAGGAGAAAAGTGGTGACTGACTCATGCTATGGTCCATGTGAGGCTATGCTATTCTGCTATTTTTTGTAAACTGCTTTGAGGTTTTTCGCAATCAAACAGTGTATAAATTTTAGGAAATAAATATATAATGTGCATTGAAGCTCCCTTTTTCCTTCTGTTATATTGGTTCCAGACTCTTGGCAAGTCTTAGTTAAGGCAGTTGACAATGCCTAGGGGGAAAAAAGGGTCAGAATTTAACTTCTATACCAGCATGGTCTACTATTTCAGGTTTCCCAAATTTCTCCATTAACAGCAAATATCAGAACCCTGAAGTTGTTGCTGTTGGATTGTTTGTGGAATATGATAGGCTGCTGAATGTTCTCAAGGATATCTGTATCTTGTCTAATGAAACATCAACTGAAAAAGAGTTAATTAAATCTAAACTTTGTTCCATTGAGTCTTGTCTTTGATTTTTCTTCTTCCTTGAATCCGGCCATTCATTCACAATTATGTACCACAGTTGATTTAATCTTCTTGTCATCACCTTCAAAGATCTGCATAACCATCATCCCTCCTTAATTATCCATTGCCTGACAAGTGTCAAGTTGTGCTGATTCTGTCCACTCCATTAATACATCTAAGTGTGCATCCCTGTTTGTCAGTTTCTAATTAGATACCTTTGTGCTGCATGGTTGTCTACAGGCTTCTGTACACAAGCACATTTGAATCCCCCAAAGCCCCCTATATGTCAACAGAAGAAATCACTTCTTCCTCAGCACAATAAGCTGGTTATATATAAACTTCATATAATTTCATGCTGTTGTAATTTGTAATCAGTGGGATTACATGGATGGGAAGGACCCCAACTGCTTTTAAATACTGCTAATTAATTGTTATTAAATAGTACTCATTACTACTAAGGGCTGGTTCATAGTGGGCTAACTTACTTATTTTAGCACTAGCAAGGGTTGCTCATTCCTTCCAGCAATGTAATTTATGAGCCTATAGTTTAGAATTGCAGCTGCAAGAACTTTCTCTGGCACTTTGAAATGTGCATAGGAGACAGAAGTAGCTGAGAACTGTAAACTTCCAGCTCATATATTAAGTTGATCATATGAATGAATGACTTCTGTGAAGGCAACAGGCTACTGCAAGAAGGCCACCCTACTGTGTGAAACAGGCCATTATAGTGAATAAACACTGACGATATGTTTCTGATGGGATGAATTACTTCAAACATAATTAAGCGTGCAAGCGTTTTATGAGAAAGGA